CCAATGATATTGCGCGCAGCTACACGTTCCGAGTGCATTGCGCTATCTTTTCTTCATGGTGGAGTAAATCCTGTCTGACTAGGACAGCTACTCCATCCCACCCCCAATGTACCCCCTTTCCTATCCTGCATGTGGACTGTGAACCGGCTTCAGACTGGTTTCGGTATGAGGTCATCCTGAGTTAACCACGTTTCAGACAGGACAATTAGGTGGGCCATCATGCCCGCAGCCACTGTGGCTAGCTCTGCCCATTTGTTTCTACTACTAAATGCATTGGCGTGCAATAGTACCAGGGCTTCCTTGTCTCCGAGATAGTGCTTTTCGTTTACCCGGATTTTCTCTTCGGGTAGCACCCGGCTAGATAACCCGTTTTTTGGCTGGGCCAGAATACCAGCCACTACTGCGACCACTGTTTCTTGTAGCCCGGGAAACTTGGAAAGATATGCCAGCATAGGGTGTTCTGAGTCGGTTTCGTCCAATCCGACTTAAGAACCCATCCCTAACGTGAGGTCCTCTAATATGTCCTCAATTTTTACCACATTTGGGTTTTAAGACCCGTGGTACCTTTGGCAGTTGTTTTGGCGGAGCCCTATCGCTCTCGCGTCCTGTTATGTGAGTATTCGGTCTCCTATTTGGCACCCGCACTTGTGGTTCATCGGGGACGATTTTGAACCGCCTTTTAGTGACGCTCCACACTAAGTCTGTTCGGGATAGTGGAAGCACCCTATCCAGTGGTTTATCAAATACTACTAGTATGGGTCTGGCGGGCACCAACGGTGCTTCCGGAGGTGATGTTTCCCACCTTCCAACCCGGTGCACTCTCCTAATGGCTGTTTGGTGGATACCTAAGTATGTCGCAGACTCTACGCCTGTCCATCTCCATACGGGCTTTTGACTCTCTTATATTTGGCTCCTCTTTGTTAAATATGAGAAGGTATCTTTGAAGTTCCCCTGTGAGGCTATTCACTTGCTTTTTCAGCTCTTGGAGCTCAAATTATAATCTGTCCCTGTCCCCTTGTGAGAGAGTGATATTTCTACCGACTCCAGGCTTAGACCCTCAGTGTGGCTTAGCGCGGCTTGCACCCTGACGTGCTTGGAGTTCACCCAAGGGAGCGGCTAATTGAGCGGTGTGGTTAAAGCTGCAGCTTTCCAGGTCCTAGGCAAAACTGTTTGCCAAGAACTCTCACCCTGCGGATTCCCCTTTTCTTGGCTAGAGGCGACCTGAGCGATATTTTCTGAGGTATCCTCGGTCGGTTCCGGCTTTTGAAGGCCTTCTAGGTGCTCACGGCTCAGCTTCCTCATGGCCCCTGGGCGCTGCTTCGCAAACGCTGACCTGGCCGCATACTAACACTTCACAGACCCACTCTAACCAGTTATTTGGGAAATAGAAGTCATAGTGGTCGTTACTTGTGCCTGAACATCCCACACGCGCCCACCTTTTATAGGTTTCACATTCGATTTCCTTAACCACTTTTGTTCCGCATATGCCCTTCAAACATGGGTAGGACACTCGCGTCATTACAAGGTGTCTACGTAGAGAACAGACGATAAAAACGAAAAACAGTGAGGCAGAAAACGATAGGCAAAAGCGATACGTAAAAACATTCAACCTAACCAAGCTAAACAATCACATTGGCTATCCACGGATTTTGGTGCACGCTACTATATGCTCTTTGAAAAGAACACTGGAAAGCAATTTAGAGTAAAAACCTGGCACGCAAAATGGTGTGAAACAAAGTGGTGTGAATCAATGGCAACTGAACTTTACTTTTACGATCGTGGCACGAATCAAAGCACAGCACGTCAAAATTTCAACCGCGCGCTAACCTACCGCAAGGTCAGCAGCAATAATTATGAATGACCAGTGTAAGAGTCCCAGTTAGTCATTGACATACACCGTTAATAGTTGTGGCCGGTGCACAGGGCCTTGAGCACCCCAGTGGGAGCAGGATTCCAACCAGATATCGTCTAGTCAACAAGAACGCTAATGTGAATTTCGGTGAGGACTCCTTTAGCTGTTTTAATAAACAGCCTCAAATCCATGGGGAATCGGAGTCCTCAGGTAGCAGAAGCGGGGCATTTCATCAAATATCTTGCTGAAGTTCACTAAGAGAGTTTTTTCGTGTCTGAAAACCTTGTCTTCACCACCTTTCACGAGCCAGGGATAGGTTCCACAGGCATGAGACACTTGGCCGGAACTCCTATTTTCAGAATTACAGGTTTCCGCAATGCAGTATATGCTATCGGAGCTGGGAAGCCATAAATTTAGGTTACTACAAAAGCCAAACTAACCAAACGTCAGTTACTGGATTAGGCTCCAGCTCTGAGGTGGGAATAAGACGAGATCCCCCTACTGGCGTGGCAAGCGTTCTCGTTTCCACAATAGATTGAATAGGTAGATTATAGACAATACAGGTTCGACTAGCAACTTCTTCAGAGCCTGTACGTACATCTGAGCAGACCAAATGAAAAATTAACCGAATCAGTTTGGCTGATTGAATTTGAACGATAAATATGTCATTAGTGCTCATACTTCATAAAGCTTGGCTCAAACTGGTTTACTCTATCCTAAATTTATTGAATGTGTGGAGACAACTAACGAGCAAAACATTTTAAATGAGAATAACTCTGATGATGACGAATAAATTTATAGGTAATATCAGTCAACAAGTTAGTAACTGAGAAAAAAGACACCTGCCACAACTTATTTTGAATTTCAGAGGAGTGATATAAATTCAAAATTCTTTTAAATCTGTAGGTTTAGACTGAGACCATCAAAAATGATGAAATGGCATAAAATTGAACGTTGAATTTAAATTTTCATAACAGTGGAAGTCACACAGGTTGCTCTTCGTACGGAGTAGTAATACTTACAACCTTTGAAAATCGCTGAACTGTTGACAAAGTGTTGAAAATCAGTTCTCGTAGCTCGGGTGAACTGGACTCTATTTCGCCTATGCGCCGAGCATGGCAAATGTGGCTTTATGAAGACTATGACGGAAGTGTTCAGCCGTCAGTGACAGGTGATGTACAGCACTGAGATATGGACGACTAGAGCATTGATTGGTTTAAAGTTGTAATATGTTATGACTAGGAGAACTGGGAAATTTGCACTTTGTTCATCTTTTTTCTTAAGACAAAGATGTCAATTGTCACCATTGTCTATTATTTTCACAGTTTTTCACGTGGGAAGTGGAAAGCGGTGTGAATTCCCTATCGATGAGGTACAAATTATTATGGATATAATCCACTGGTATGGGCGTCGACGGCTTCGAATATATGTATCTGGTTCTGTGCTAACTCAGTGTCAGCCTGGGGTACGTGAGATGCGAGACCACAATCTGACGATGACCTAGTCACAGATTCCTGTGAGGACCAGTGTGAACTAACAGACCAGGTGTGATAAAACGTATTTTCAGAAATCGGCCGATACTTTGCCGCNNNNCCGCTGGATGGAATAGCAACTCGACAGGTGCCGCACTTCAGTTTACGACCAAGGCTCACCACATCGACCAAACAACTGCGTGTTTAACATAAACTTCACACGGAAACAACAAATTTGTCATCGCCATCGCCTTGCAGCCTCCGGGCTTGTCGCCTTTGGACACCTGATGGTCTCGGTCGTAAATCGCCGTGCACAATCGTCTCACACTTTCGTCACTCGTCTTAGGAGCAGACCGCCCTTTTTGCTTTATCTTTACCGTGCACCGTGTACGGTGACTCAGAGCTTTACGGCCCAGTTTCATGTTGACGGTGGGTAGGCTGAGTCAAATCGAGTGGACGCACACACATAAACCGGCAGAACGGTAAACTATGGTACTTAATGTGTTCTATTAAACATACATTTAGAAGAATCATAAGAGCATATGGTTCCCGTTTTTTCGTATCCGGGGTAAAACATCACTCTAGTGCATTGTGGCAAACTAACTGAACAGATAAGTGAGTAGATGGATAGGGCAGCTAATGAGTCAAAAACCTGTCACCCATTGAGTATACTTCATGTTAAGTGGTTTACCTGTGCACTCTACTATTTCCTTAAGTTGCTCCTGTGTCTCAGTCTGCAATGGACGTAGTGGTTGTTGGTTCATCTGGAGAACAGATTCATAATACTGACAGATTTCAGGACACAGTGAGCAACTTATAACTATTGACGGGAGCCGTATGTTTGATGGGACAGGTATCCAACGGGACTAAGAGTGGGGTTGAGTTTTTAATGCGATAAGTCGCAATGTATTACAGACCGGTTAGCGTTTTTTCACTTTGTTTCTTACTACAAATATGGTAGGATTAGGAACAGTTATGTCCTCATTGTAGTTGCGCACGAAATGGTTCCTCCTCCGAGAAAATGTTTCTCAAATAGTAGTCATAGTTTTGCAGTTTATACCGAACCGGCAAGCTCTACAAATGTAAGTCATTCTACAAATTCATTTATACGCCCTGCCGACAATTCTCTAATATGGCCAGTTAAAACGTCTATTCCTATAGTCTATCTTAAAAACAAATAACCGAATAATAAGACAAATAAGAAGTTCTTGGTGTAAAGTACATTCTCTCTTTACAAACGATGGTAGGATCTTGTAAGTTAGTTATTCTGGAAACTAAGCCGCTTTGATTACGTGGAACACGAGCTGTTCGAGACCATGGGATTCGTTTGCTTTGTTTTCAAGACTTCACACTCCCAAGTCTACGAAAACACAATAGACAATAAATACGAAGAAAAGTACCACACAGTGTCATCTATGGGATAAAGTAAATGAGTCTGTGTCAACTGAAAAGACATTGGAGTGTGTGACTTGACCGTCTACATGTGATAGTCAGATGGCATGCAGAGAATATAAACTGGTTCACCTTTCACACTCATCTCCCACTCATCCCCGCCCCGACAACTTGACAACTTGAACTGGTAATTCCATCCATTTTTTTGTTTATTGCGCTTGGAGGGAAATGTGTCTATGATTTCTGGCCAATATACCCAAAGAACAAACATTCGCTCAAAACTCATGTTCACAGTATTCTTAGGCATCAGCAGTTGAGGAAACTTACTGACAATGTAAATTGTACTATAATTCTTTGCTACGCTCCAATAATTCAAGAGCCTTTATGAAGCCCAGATGTAATCGTTCACAATATGTTGACAACAATGATACAAGAAGACAGATTGAATTAAATATTCTTGGTATGTGCATAAAATCGTTTGTTTTAAAGCAAAGGAATTTGCTCGTTTTCGGTAGTAATGGATATATTAACCATCTGAATCATTTTATTCGATAGCGATTTGTACGCTCAATACCTACAAAATATAAGCGGCTAAGCAGGAGGCTCTTAAAATGCCTGCAGAAGTATAGGGTTTGGGTGGTGCTTATGAAATTCGGGCAAGAGTTTATCGTGAAATAGATGTTAAAGTTAAAGTTAAAGTTTTACTATGGGAAATACTTACAAGCGGTTGCTTTTC